AACCTCCAACTCCTTGGGCTTAGGTGATTCTCTTGCCTCAGCCTCCCAAGTAGCTGGGACTACAGGCGCCCGCCACAATGCCCGGCTATTTTTTTGTTGCAATTAGGCCAGAGCTGAGTTTGAATCCATCACCCTCAGTATATGGGGCCAGCGCCCTACTCACTGATCCACAGGCGCCGCCCTGGATCTCACTTTTGTAAACATTACCAGAGAAACAAGGATGATATTAAAACAGACTTATACCTTTTCTCCATAGAGGTGTTAGATCTGTTTGACACACCAAATATTATTCAGTATCCCCCCAACCTAGATAATGAATGTTGTCTTAAAGATGTCTATGTCGCTTGTCACTCTTAGATCAGAATCTAAAAACTGGTATGATGACAGCAACAGCCATGTCAGAGGCTACTCAGCAGTTCCCATGTGATAAGCATGACTCTGAATACTTGGACTACCTGCTACACTAACAACAGCCATGAGAGAAAGAGCTCTTCCCATCTTACTAAGGAAACAACTGTGTCTCAGTTACAACAAGAAAAAACTTCCCTGTGGTCCATGGGCTAAAAAGAGCAGAGTAAACACTGATCCCTGGTGACTGGGTACTAGTATTGAACCTAATAGTTCAAACCCTTAAGAAGTAGACCAGCCTCAGAGGTAAATTGATAGAGAATTACCAAATTCAGAAAAATTGAAACAAGTTGAAGGGTGAGAACATGCAACTGCATAAAGGTCATTACGTTCATGTAGACCAGTGTATGCAGCTGATACATTAGCCTTCTTACTGATAACAACTCATTAATGTGATAGAGTAGGGAGTGTCCCAGTGCCTGTCCACCTCCCTGCACTATGTTGGCTGGCCTCCTGAGCATGGAGGGCAGAAGCTGAGACACTATTGTGACCTGCACTTCCAGGGTGACACTGAAGACTATGAAAAACTACTCAAGAAAAACTGTACCAGGGTGTGGCATGGTGTCTCACACCTATAATCCTAGCACTATGGTAGGACAAGGAGGAAGGATCCTTTGAGCTCAGGAGTTTGAGACCAGACTGAATATGAGCAAGATCCCATGTCTACCTAAAATGGAAAAACTAGCCAGGCATCATGGTGGCTGTCTGTAGTCCCAGCTACTCAGGCAGCTGAGGCAGGAGGACTACTTGACCCCAGGAATTTGAAGTTGCTGTGAGCTATAACATCACAGCACACTACTCACTGTGACAGAATAAGACTATGTCTCAATTAAAAAAAAAAAAAAGGAAAGAAAAAGATGGAAAAACTATACATCGTTAAAAATCTTTTTTTTTTACACAACTGAAGAAGAGGTCTATGAACTCCAATCAACACTGAAATTATTATGAGTCTGGATAAAATGGAAAGAACAGCATGTGGATTCTGCTTTGTAGAAGACTATTTGAGAGCACATGCAGAAAACGCCATGTCATACCTAAGTGGAATGTGTCTGGACGACGGGATCGTCCCCACAGAATGGGGTGCAGGCTGTAAGGAGGGCAGGCAGTAGGGATGTGGGCCATCTGGGCTCCAGGTATGAGATGAGAATGGGCAAGACTATGATTCTGGCAGAGGCCGCCATGGAGAAATGGCACAGACCTCTGAAAAACTCTGGTGGCCTGTTGAATTTGCTGAAGAGCGTTACACACGGTCTTCCAACCAGCTTATTTTTACCAAGCTTTGATCAATATCTTTACTGATCCTGAAGCAAGGACAGAATCTCAAGAGAATGCCTTGAATTCTAGTCTTAGAATCTTGTCCAAGTGTCAGGTTAGCAGAATGACTTTCTGTGACCAGGTCAGATACTGTGTTCCCTGGCAACACATTTGATCCATAATGTTGATGAAAACATTACACTTCTCGGCTTGGCGCCTGTAGCTCAGAGGTTGGGGTGCTGGCCACATACACCAGGGCTGATGGGTTGGAACCCTGCCTGGGCCTGCCAAACAACAATGACAAGTATACCTAAAAAATAGCTAGGCATTGTGGTGGGCACCTGTAGTGCCAGCTACTCGGGAAGCTAAGGCAAGAGAATCGCGTAAGCTGAAGAGTTTGAAGTTGCTATGAGGTATAATGCGAAAGCCTTCTACTGAGGGCAACATGCTGAGACTCTGTCTCAAAAAAAAAAAAAAAAAAAAAAAAAACAAAAAAAAAAGCACTTCTCCTGAAGACTGGAAAATTTCAGAAATATGTTTTACCATGTTTGAGTTGAAATAGCTTCAAGATCTATATTGGGGCCTGGAATTATTTTTTTCTTTAAATTTGCATGGGACTGAGGTTAATAAATGGAGATTGCTATGTTATATAGCTTTGCTCTAAATTAGGATAGGTATTTCACAACTCAACTTGTTTTCTATGAATTCTGGTCTATAAAGAAAACTTAAAAGTTAAGGAATCGAACTAAATGGTTGGTGTAAAAGTCAGCATCAGACAATCCCAAGGCAAACCAAGCTTCAGTCCTTTCCATATCAGAAAATTAAGTACAGGGTTTGAATAATATTTATTAAACACATTTCTTCAAAAAATGCAAATGTTATGCCTAAAGCCAAAAAAGTAAGGGTCTGTCACATGAAGAATCTCAAATACTCTAACAGATGGGAGAGACACTAACAATAGGAAATGGGATGAAATGTCAGAGACACAAGTTAAAACATTGCCTTTACATGATGAAGGTTGCTGTCAGGGCCTTATGATTTATTCTTTTCCTCTTCAGTGATCTTAGGAATGGAGTGGGATATAAAAAAGACTGAGAGAATGCTGAACAAAAGCAATCAGAGAAGCTCCCTGCAGGACATGCCTATTCTAGCCAATTCTCACTTCGAGGTCTGTTTTCCTTCCCAAATTGTGCTTTCTGAGGTTCAGGCCTTAATAGTGAGCTG